TATATATATATATATTTTTTTTTTTTGAAAGCATTCTTACTTTACACCTGCCTAAAACTTTTGCACAGTACTGTGCAACCGCATTAATTCATGAATGTAGTAAGTTATGCTTTTAATAATGTTATAAATGTATTTTATTTATTTTTTACAGCAATGGGAGGCGCAGCTATTGCACCACCTACATGTCTCGTTGAGAAGGACAAGGAATGTAAGTATTGCCGGGACTTATAGCAACTTACTCTCTACTACCACTAGATGGCGTTTGTAACTTTCTTACCGCTTTAAATAATAGGCTATGCCTGTGGCTAAGGTTTTTCTGTAGTATGCATGCCATACATAATAAAGTTGTGGTAAGCATACAAGCCCTGGATGTTTGTTGCATGCTTTTATTCCTGTTAACCTGCCATATACAGACATTCATAACCAACACAGACGTGCTAATATTTGTACAACACATATGGTTGTAGTGTGGCTTCTTGTTCCTGTTTTAGAAAATCACATATGCAAGAGCAAGATAAATATTTAAGGAGACACACAACCCTTAAAATTTTACTACTTGGCATTTTAAAACTTTAGGCTCGTTGGACTCTTTTGCCATGGTGGAAATTATAAGGCGTGAGTACTGATAGAACAGGACTTGGTAGAGACCCATTTTGTTTGCATGATTTTTGTAACTGTCCTCTTTCTCTTATATTAGCTATAGTGCCAGCATATGATGAAGAGCCTAGGCCTCGACCACCCATGCCTAAGGCTGCTATTCCTCCCCCTAGTTATGATGAACCAGAACGACCGCGGTCTCCAACTGGGCCTAGTAATTCCTTTTTAGCAAACATGGGGTAAGATTAAATACAAAGGCTTGCTCACATTTTCTGCTTCTGTTTATTTTAGTAGTTGTCATTGAGTTTCATGCATTTGGTTTACTAATAAAAATTCTGACTTGAGAATTGTATGGAATATGTTAAAGAGATTTAAATGCACAGTTAAAATATGTATGCGTGAGCTCTTACCTTCTGGATTTAACTTCTGTGCAATTCTTCGCACTGCACAAACTGCAGCTGCACTGCATAGCCAGGAAGATGAATATTTCCTGGTTAAGATGTAGAGATTTCAGGGATGGATAGTTCTAAAGTAATAATCAGAAATACATTTTTGCTCTACATAATGCTCCCCTAGCATTGGTCACATTTTGTGCTATTTGCTGAAGGGGAGAATCAGAGTTCAGATTGGCTGATTCTGACCTTTTCAAGAGATCACATAAGGCTGTTAAAGTTGTGCTTTGTTTAGTAGAAGTCCATGATAATGTGATTGAAATGCAGCCTCCATTTTGAATGGGATTTCCAGATTTTTTAAAAACAGCCATTTGTCAAGTGATTTTAGATTCCTTCACACCACCTTACAAAAGCTGGACCCTTGCAGTTTCCAAGCTTAGCCAGCGGAAGTCTACCCTTGTGGAATTGCTCTCACACAATTAGGTTGATGGAGCCCCAGCTCTGTCAGCCTATTGTGCTATCTTGTTCTCACTTTTATTTCTGCCAAAATAACAATCCTGAAAACAATTTGGAGTGATGCTTTTTAGGCTTGTGCTGTAAAAATGAATTTTCCTTGCTGCTCAACTGTTTGAGTTTCTTCCTGATTCGCAGTGGAACTGTGGCTCACAAAATCATGCAGAAGTATGGCTTCCGGGAAGGTCAAGGCTTGGGAAAACATGAACAGGGCCTCAGTACTGCATTGTCTGTTGAGAAAACCAGCAAGAGAGGAGGCAAAATTATCATTGGAGATTTAGCAGACAAAGGTATGTTGCAATCGTTTCTATAGAAAGGATATCTAGGCATTGATCTCAAACACATCATTTATTTGCTACCCAATTTCTATCAGCTTCTGTTAATATAGAAGTGTGTGTGTAGTGGTTTTAAAAAGCAGACATTGTTGTATCATAAAGAACATGCATAGGAAGCAGGGCTCTCTAGATCAGAGAGAAGATTATATCATCATGCTAATGATCCAGTTATACTTCTGCACATCCTACAAAGCGCTGCTAGTTTTACCCATAAATGTTGCTTTAGATGGCATATGTCAGCAGGGCCTATGCAATCTAAAAAACATAATGTCCTCAAATTTTGGTTATCAATACCATGGCCATGTGCATCTACCTGTAAAATTCCAATTGAAAGTCTAATCACTGCATTCATGTCCTACAGTTGACTCCTCAAAGAAATCCGACCCCAACCCTCTTACAGAAATACTGAAGTGCCCCACTAAAGTGGTTTTATTAAGGGTGAGAACAAGCATCTATCATCTTTCAGGTTTATACTCTTTTTGTTTAGAAAGCTGGCTTTGTAAATAATTGTTGCCTTTGTCCCCCCTCCCTCAGAATATGGTGGGTGCAGGGGAAGTGGATGAAGATCTGGAAGGTGAAACAAAGGAAGAATGTGAAAAATATGGCAAAGTTGCAAAATGTGTCATCTTTGAGGTCGGTGGAAAGGACTAATCAATGTGCTTGTATTGTTCATACACTTCCTAGTTTTATATTTAATTTGGCAAATGTGATGTGCAGGGCTTAAAACATTTTAGGGTGTTTTACCAGTCAGTAAAAAATGTCACCAGTCAGCATGACCGGACTATAGCCTTGCAATTTATGTTAACATTTTTTGGGGACAGATAGAGCTTTCTTTTGGTGGTATATAAAATAAACCCTGGGTGGGGGAGGGGTAATTTTTTACTACACAATGAAAAAAGTACCGTAAATTTCACGAAAAAACAAAGTTTCCCTACGTTATGTTATAAAACATCTATTCTTACCCATACTTTTGGTAAAATATAAAAGATGGGGTCACGTCGGGTAAATAGACACCAAACATGTCAAGGCCTAAAATTGCGCACGCCTGCAAAATCGCAAAAAACGTCCACACTGAAAATTGGCCATAGGCGACACTTGAAAATTCTTTTATTGCTCAACAGTTTAGTGTTATCAGTAATTAATGGCCCTAAAATTATTGCTCGCACTCTGACATACACTGTGATATGTAACGTGCGGTACAATAGGCACAATCGCCGTTATCGCACGTAGGCACACCCAACGCATATCTGCGTGTGTATGTGGGGGGCGGGGGACTTCTTATGCTTCTTTAATTATTGTATTACTTTTTTTTTTTTACACAACTTTATTGCTATCACACGGTGGGCTAAGGAGCCAATTTACATGGCAGGTCCTCTATATGGAGACATCAGGGGTCCCCAAGACCCCTAATGTCACCTAGGGACCCCCAGAGAAGCTGATGAAGCAGAGATCTGCTTCATCAGCTTCTGTAGCTGGAGAGTGACACTGAATGCCGGAAGTGATGTCATATACATCACTTCCTGCATTCGGGGACTGAGAGGAGATCAAAGGGAGATCGTGTACCGCTCTCCTGTCACAGAGCAGCCGTGCCGGTCACTGCCGCATCAGGCACAGCGGATCTCGGGATCGGCATGGCGGTGACAGCTGCTCTCTAGAGCTACTCGTCGGGCTCCGCCGTCCTCTCGTCACAGACGAGACGACGAGTGGATTTTTCAAGCCCTGGTGATGTGCCACTTATAGCTGCTAATTAAAATCTGTTTTTTTTATTGAAAAAAGCAAAAAAGGGTATGGATTGAACTTGGGGAGATTGGGAACATTGCAAGTGTGATTGTGGATTTCAGCTTAAAGGGGATTTTTCCTTTTTAAATGTATATTTACACTATTGATAAACAGTCACTCAGCATTGATGTGGTCAATAGGGTTTTTTTTTCTGTCTTCTCACATAGACCGTGCAAAGAGAACACACTCTAGTTATTTAGTAATCATGTTGTTTTTGTCTCTAGATCCCCGGTACTCCAGATGAAGATGCAGTGCGGATATTTTTGGAATTTGAGCGAGTAGAATCCGCTATTAAAGGTAAATTGCAGTTTGGGTTAAGCCTCATAATTTGTGAAAGTGGTTTGTTTGGGAGGGATGGGACACTTTTGGGTTAGTGCCTAGTAGCAGTTAACTAATAAATGGGTTTATAACTACTTATCTTGTAGGAGCGTTATATCTGAATTACGCAATGTGCAGCGCTGAAGGGTAAAGACCTGTGTCCCAATTAAAATAAATGTTTTGTGGTACTGCTTTCTATTTTTATAGAATTCAGACGTTATAGTTTACAAAAAAGGCAGGTATTTTATGAAGGGAATTTAAATACATTTTTCACATGTTTATATTTTATTCCTGCTCTTTGTGCTAAAATGATCATGACAACTGGCATTAGCATTTATTCTATGAACTGACAAAGAAAGCAATTAATACTTACCTGTCCCTATACCTGAGCTGCCAAATTGCTCTGCATTGTGGATCCAAGCTTTGCTGAGGAATGTTCAGCAATCAACTTCAGAGAGTGTCTAATGCTGACTCCTCATAGTCACCGCAGGACACAGGGCTGGCGTAGAAAAGGGCTGGGCATCTAACACACCTGAAAGTGTATTCCAGATGCTTAATATTTTGTTTTTATAAGCTTGGACCTTCAACAAAGTGCGCACACTCTCTCTCTCTCCTCACTCTCTCTCTCTCTCTCCTCACTCTCTCTCTCTCTCTCCTCACTCTCCCTCTCCTCACTCTCTCCCTCTCCTCACTCTCTCCCTCTCCTCACTCTCTCCCTCTCCTCACTCTCTCTCTCCTCACTCTCCTCGCGCTCTCTCTCTCTCTCTCTCCTCACTCTCTCCCTCTCCTCACTCTCTCTCTCTCCCTCTCCTCACTCTCTCTCTCTCCTCACTCTCTCCTCACTCTCTCTCTCTCTCTCCCTCTCTCTCCTCACACTCTCTCCTCACTCTCTCTCTCCTCACTCTCTCTCTCTCTCTCCTCACACTCTCTCCTCACTCTCTCTCTCTCTCCTCACCCTCTCTCTCCCCTCTCCCCCTC